GCCTGATTTTGATATCAGGGTGATGGTGGCTTCATAGACTGAGTTTGGGAGTGTTCCCTCCTTTTCAGTCTTCTGAAAGAGTTTGAGAAGGACTGGTATGAGTTGTTCTTTGTGTGTTTGGTAGAATTCCCGGGTGAAGCTGTCCGGTCCTGGACTTTTATTTGTTATTTGTAGGGAGGTTTTTTATTGCTAATTCGATTTCATTTTCTTCTTGATTCAGTCTTGGTGGACTGTATGTTTCCAGAAACTTGTCCATCTCCTCTAGGTTACCCATTTTGGTTCCATATAGTTTTTCATAATATTCTCGTATGGTATTCTGTATTTCTATGTTATTTGTTGTAATTTCTCCATTTTCCTTTCTTATTTTGCTTATTTGTGCTCGTTTTCTTCCTTGTGAGTTTGGCCAGAGGTTTGTCGATTTTATTTACTTTTTCAAAAAACCAGCTTTTGGTTTGACTGATTTTTTTCTTTTTTTTTAATCTCTATTTTATTTATTTCCTCCCTGATCTTCATTATTTCCTTCCTTCTGCTGACTTTTGGGTTTTTTTGCTCTTCTTTTTCTAATTCTTTTAGCTGGTGGGTTAGATTGTTTGTTTGAGATTGTTCTTTTTTGAGGAAGGCCTGTATCGCTATAAACTTCCCTCTTAGCACTGCCTTTGCTGCGTCCCATAAATTTTGTGTGGTTGTGTTTTCATTTTCATTTGTCTCAAGGTATTTTTTAATTTCAACTTTGATTTCATCATTGACCCATTGGTTTTTTTTTTAATAGCATGTTGTTTAATCTCCATGCTTTCCTTTTTTTCTCTGTAGTTGATTTCTAGTTTCATGGCATTGTAGTCAGTAAAGATGCTCGAGATAATTTCTATCTTCTTAAAATTGCTGAGGCTTCTTTTGTGCCCAAGTACATGATCAATCCTAGAAAATGTTCCATGTGCACTTGAAAAGAATGTATATCCTATTTTGGGGGGATGTAATGCTCTGAAAATATCCACCAAATCTAATTTTTCTATTTTATCATTTAATTTCTCTGTTGCCTTATTTATCTTCTGTCTGGAAGATCTGTCTAGTGATGTTAATGTGGTGTTAAAATCTCTAACAATGATTGTATTCACATCAGTTTCCCCCTTTATCTCTGTTAGTAATTGTTTTATGTACTTAGGTGCTCCTATATTGGGTGCATATATATTAACGAGTGTAATATCCTCATCTTGTATTACTCCTTTAATCATTATAAAATGCCCTTCTTTATCTTTGTTTATGGCCTTTGTTTTAAAGTCTATTTTGTCTGAAATCAGTACTGCTACACCTGCTTTTTTGGCTTTTCCATTTGCATGGAATATCATTTTCCATCCTTTCACTCTCAATCTATATGTGTCCTTCTCCCTAAAGTGGGTCTCTTGTATGCAGCATATTGCAGGTTCTTGCTTTATTATCCAGTCTGCCACTCTATGTCTTTTGATTGGAGTCTTTAGCCCATTAACATTTACAGTAATTAATGATAGATGTGTGTTTATTGCCTTTTTGAACTTATTTCTGCCATTGACTTGGTATTTTCTCTTTGTTCCTTTCTTCTTCCTTTTGTGATTTGGTAATTTTCCTTTGTATTATCATGGATTTTATTTAGTTTTTGTGACTCCCTTGTAAATTTTTGGCTTGTGGCTGCCCTTTTTTGTAAGTCTATTAGCCCATTACTATAACTGTTTTTATTAAACTGATAGTAACATGATCTCAATCCCATCCTACCGAGAACAAAAAATTTTAAAAAGAAAGAAAAAAAATACCGTATATTTTCTTGCTTCCCTCTCCCACTCTTAATGATTTAGATGTCTTCTTTTACAATTTCGTGTTTCTTCTATTTGTAATTCATGGTAGTTATCACCCTTTGTGGCATTACCTTCATGACACTGTCTAGAGGGAAGATACCATTACAAGAGAATTTCAGTATTATTATGCTTCATGCAAAGATACTTAAATTTTAAAAGCTTTTTTTTTAATTTGTAGGATCTGGAGACTCTGATGATTTCAGTCTGAAGGATGCAGTGAAAGCAACTTCCTCAGTAAAGCGTGAGTAGTAAATCAAAGTATTAAAAGCAAATAATAGTGCTTAATATGCACTACCCACTCAGAATACCCATTCAAAGAAAGAAGTAGGTGGCCTGTATTTCACTTGATTAGATATAATATGGTTATTATAAAATGCATTATTGAAAAGAAAATCTGAATGTTTAAACTCCTTTGTTTCCTTTGTGGAGAATACCAAATATGTGTAATAACTGGTATGGGATTTTCTCCAGTTTAAGTCATAGCCCTTACTGCTGTGACACACCAGCAGTGGCCTCCAAGGACTATCTTTTTCTAGCTCATAAAAAGGTACTTTGAAGCAAATAAGGGATTTGTTTCTCTTTTTAGATCTTTTTATAATGGCTGTTCTTAAAATGGTGTCTATGTGTAATCTCTCAAATGCTGAGCTTTGTCATCTTGAAATGTTTTCGAGAGAAAAGTTTTAAACCATTATTTAAAAATATGCATTAATGCTTAGAAGGTAAAGCTGAGATTTCTCTTGATCCCTCTCCATCCTACAACTGCTTAAGTCATTTTGGGGTATGCTGGTTCCAATTTGTTTTCTCTGCTGTTATGTACATCTGTACACATAGATTGTTCGGTGTTTTTTTGTTTTTCATAACATGTGTAGGGCTTCTTCATTTAGTTATGTCTGTTATTTCACAACTTAAAAAAATTTAATGTGTATTGAGTACCTGAGTGAATATATCTTGTCTATGTTAGCTTCCTTTGTATGGGCTGCTGTAACAAAGTACCACAAACTGGATGGCTTAAAACCATAGAAATTTATTCACTCACAGTTCTGGAGGCCAGAAGTCCAAAATCAAGGTGTTGGCAGGACCACGCTCCTACTTGAAGACCGTAGGGGAAGAATGCTTCCTTGCCTAAGCTAGCTTCTGGTGGCTCCAGATGTTCCTCAGCCTGCAGCTACATCACTCCAACGTCTGCCTCCATCTTCACATGGCCATCTCCTTCATCTGTGTGTCTTCTCTTCTTTGGTCTCTAATAAGGACACTTTGTTGGATTTAGGACCCACCTGGATAATCCTGAATAATTTCATCTCAAGATCTTTACTTCATTACATCTTCAAAGACCCTTTTTCCAAATAAGGTCACATTTCCCACATTCTGGATTTTAGGATTTGGCTATTTATTTGGGGGAGCCACCATTCAACCTACTACATTTAATATCTATATCTCATACACAAACCTGTGCTTCATAGAGCTGGCATTCCAGTGAAGTGGCTTTGGCCATGACCAGCGATGCAACTTCTTACTGACAGACATGTGGTTTGATTCTCTTTTGCACAGTTGTAAGTGGGGATCCAGTGAACACTCTTGTCTGTATCCTTTGTGCCCAAGTACAGTGAAGCTGTCAGGCCAAGGGGAATATGTAGTCTATATTTTAATGGATTCTGGCAAATTGTTTCCAAAATGAATGTGTAACATATACTCCCACTCACACTGTTATAAGAGTACCTTTTTCCTGACCTGCACCATCACCAGATTTTACCAAAAACTTTTTACCAATATGATGGGAAAAAGTCATCTATTTTTTGGCCATTCGCATTCTCTTTGGTGAATTATCTGTTCATATCATTTCCCCATTTTCTGCCAAGTTGCTTGTCTTTTTTATTTTAGTTTAAAAACATTTTTGGAAATGTAACTGATTTACAATGTTGTGTTAGTTCCTGGTGTACAGCATAGTGATTCCGTTTTATCTATTTATCTATCTATCTATCTATCTAAACTATATATAACTGTATATATAGTTATATATTTTTTCTTTTTTATATTCTTTTCCATTATAGGTTATCAGAAGATATTGAATATAGTTCTCTGTGCTATACAGTAGGACCTTATTGTTTATCTATTTTATATATATAGTAGTTTGTATCTACTAATCCCAAACTCCTAATTTATCTCTACCCACCTTCCCCATTGGTAACCATAAGTTTGTTTTCTGTGACTATAAGTCTGTTTCTGTTTTTTACATAAGTTTATTTGTATCATCTTTTAAGATTCCACATGTAAATGATATCATATGGTATTTGTCTTTCTCTTTCTGGTTTATTTTACTTAGTAGGATAATCTCTAGGTCCATCCATGTTGCTGCAAATGGCATTATTTTATTCCTTTTCATGGCTGAGTAGTATTCCATTGTATAAATATGCCACATCTTCTTTATCCAGTCATCTGTCCATGGACATTTAGGCTGCCTCCATGTTTGATTGTTGTAAGTAGTGCTGCTATGAACATTGGGGTGCATGTGTCTTTTCAAATTAGTTTCCTTCAGGTATATGCCCAGGAGTGGGATTGCTGGATCAGATGGTAAGTCTATTTTAACTTTTTTTAAGGAACCTCCACACTGTCCTCCATAGTGGCTGCACCAACTTATAATTACATTACCACCAACAGTATAGGGAGGCTCCCTTTTCTCCACACCTTCTGTACCATTTATTATTTGTAGACTTTTTAATGATGGCATTCTGACTAGTGTGAGGTCACACTTCACTGTAGTTTTGATTTGCATTTCTCTAATAATTAGTAATGTTGAGCATCTTTTCATGTACCTGTTGGCCATCTGCATGTCTTCTTTGGAGAAATGTCCATTTAGGTCTTCTACCCATTTTTTGATTGGGTTTTTTTTTTAATATTGACTTGTATCAGCTGTTTGTTTTTGGAAATTAATCCCTTATTGGTCGCATTGTTTGCAAATACCTTTTCTCAGTCCATAGGTTGTCTTTTTATTTTGTTTATGGTTTCCTTTGCTGTGAAAAAGCTTATAAATTTAATTAGGTCCCATTTGTTTATTTTTGGTTTTATTTCTATTGCCTTGGGAGACTGACCTAGGAGAACATTGCTACAATTGATGTCAGAAAATGTTTTCCCTGTGTTCTCTTGTCAGAGATTTATGGTGTCCTGTCTTATGTTTCAGCTTTTAAGCCATTTTGAATTTATTTTTGTGTATGGTGTGAGGGAATTTTCTACCTTCATTAATTTATGTGTGGCTGTCGAGTTTTCCCAACATTGTATATTCTTGCCTCGTTCATCAAAGATTAATTGACTGTAGGTGTGTGGGTTTATTTCTAGGCTCTCTATTCTGTTCCATTGATCCTTATGTCTGCTTTTGTGTCAGTACCACACTGTTTTGATTACTGTAGCTTTGTAGTATTGTCTGAAGTCTGTGAGGGTTATTCCTCCAGGTTAGTTCTTTTTTTTCAGTATTGCTTTGGCAATTCTGGGTCTTTTGTGATTCCATATACATTTTAGGATTATCTGTTCTAGTTCTGGGAAAAACATCCTGGATAATTTGATAGAGATTGTGTTAAATCTATAGATTGGTATCGATAGTATGGCTATTTTAATATTAATTCTTCCAATCCAAGTTATTTGTCTTTTTAAAATGAATTTGTGAAATCTCTTTGATACTCAGAATTAAGAAAGGCAGGGGCTCTGGAGTTAGACTTCCTGTGTCTGAACTCTGTCTCTACCCTTATTAACTGTCAACTTGGGCAAGTTAATTGAGTTCTTTGCACCTCAGTTTCCTCATCTGTTACATGAGGTTAATGATAACCTTCTAGGTTTATTACAATGGTTAGATGAGGTGGCCCCTGTGAAGCATTTAGCAGAAAATTTGGTACAAAATGAGTGTTTAGTAAGTGTCAGCCATTATTATTGTTCTTTGACTGATTTGATTGGAAAGACTTACTGTGGCTGGGTCTCTGAGGTAAGATGATTGCCTGATAGAGGCCTTTTTGATATTTATATCCCATTCTCAGTTGTGTGCCAGCCCATTTGATCTTTGTTAGCATCCATCAGCCAGTGTGTCTGGGACCCATAAGACCACCAGCACATGGTGTCTTCGGTTGAGTGACATCCCTCAAGACCACATCACTCTGCCATCCTTTTTCTCTATCTTAGCTTGCATTTCTTGCAGCTGAGGTTTCGAAGAGATAGGCCCATCCATCTCTTTGGCTCAGCTGTTTTTCTGGGGAAGAATATTCTCCTTTGTATATTGTACGTTTCTTGTTTAAAGAATCCCTGACACCTTGGTCAGGTTATTTGTACGTGGCCTTCATTCATCCATTCAACAATGTTTACTGAATGCTTGCTTGTTGCCAGGCACTAGTCCAGGTTCTGGGCATACCATGTGGACTAGGTCATTGCCCTCATGGAGCTATTTTCTCCACAAGGATGTAGATAGTACATAATATAATTCTGGATATTATTGAGTCCTCTGGAGCAAATACAATAGGGTGATGGGGCAGGGAGGGCCCAAAAAAGGAGTGGCTATTTTAGATAAAGCAAGCAAAGGCCTCCCTAAGGAAAGGTGACATGCAAGAACAGGGAAAGAGCCTTCAAGGCCAAGGCCTTAGGTGTAAGAGCCCTGAGGCAGAAAAGAACTGGGTTGACTCTGGGGCCTGGAAGGTGGCCTGTGTGGCTAGAGTGTGGAGAATGCTGGAGAAAAGAACAGTTGGCCGGGGCTGGATCATATAGTCTTATAGGGCACAGTGACTGCTTTATTCTAAGGACAAGGGGGACTCCTGGAACATTTTTTTAAAAGCTTTATTTAGAAAAAATTCACATACCATCCAACTCAGCTATTTAAAATATACAATTTGGTGGTTTTTAGCATATTCACACAGTTGTGCAAGCATCACTACAGTCAATTTTAGAACATTTCCATCATCTCCAAAAGAAATCCTGTGCCCTTCATTTATTACCCTCTGATCCCCTGACTCTTCACCTCCCCCCCCAGCCCCTGGCAACCGATCTCTTTTCCAACCCTCTGGATTTCCCTGTTCCAGACATGTAAATGGAGTCATAGAATACTTGGACTTAATGTTTGGCTGCTTTCACTTAGCATAACGTTTCCAAGGTTCATCATGTTGCTTTCAGAATTTTGTCCCTCCGTCTCCTCTTTCTTCACTCTCCCCTTCCCTCCATCTCTCCTCTTCTCTCTCCACCTCTTTTTTCTTCCCCTCCCAACTCTCATCTCTC